CTACCTGCCCTTGCTTCCACCCTCTACAGGCCTCCTTTTTTCTTTGACTTTGCCCAGGAGCTCCTTGTTCCTCCATGGGGGCCTCTTGGTGTTTCTGCTTGACTTCCTCTTTGTTGGGATGCATCGCTCCTAAGCTTGGAGGAGGTGACCCTTGAATATTAGCCAGCTGTCTTGGGCCCCTCTTCCTTCCAGGGCTTTGTCCCATGGTATGCTACCAAGCAGATCCCTGAAGAGACCAAAGTCTGCTCTCCTGAAGTCCCGGATCTGGGGATTGTTTCCCGCATATCTAAACCAAGCACCTACACTCCATCTTTCTGTGAAATAACCTATTTCTGCAGTTTTTAACTTTAGGATTATTAGGCTGAGCAGACTGATAGACTACAATACATATATCACAGTTTCTGCAAGCACGCAAATACATTTACCAGGATTCACTTGTCTTACCCAATCATTCCAGGTCCCTTTTGGGTTCTTGTTGATGATAGGCTGCAGGCGTTTCAGAAGAGTTTGGCAAGCATCCTGGTGAGACATCAGGAGAATATAACACAAAAATAACACATATATGTTTGGTACTATTCAAGATATGTTCTAGTTAGCACTTAATTAGTTTATGCTTTACTGTCATCTTGTTTGACAAAGTATGGCAGGAGGTGTCATTTTAACTACATAGGCACAAACCTTATAAAGGGTTAAGTTACAGGGACTGAAATCTACATGAATCAGTAGATTTAGAACAGGAACAGGATACAAAATTTGTATGGAACTAGTTAGATGAAAAAAAAGGATTTTGTCAAACTTAAGCCTTTCGGAGAAAGCTCAGATCATATTCTGAAAACTCAGAAGCACCATTACTGAGAAATTGTCAACACATCATGTTTCTTCTCAGCAATCTCCCGTGGTATTATTAGTAATCTCAAACTTGATTTCTATGGGATCACTAATGCTTAAAGTTTGGCAGGCATTAAATACCACGAGGGATAGGGTGTTTTGTTAAATTAAATACTACTCTTTACCTTCACAGCCATGCCATTGACATCTGTCCCTGCAGATCCTGCTGAGGCACATGCATTAGGAACAGTTGTTGTGCTTGTTTCACAGAAGTGAATACATGACATGGGGATGTTCAATTCCCGACTAGCAACCTGTTTCAGGAAGAAGAATATATTCTTCTCTGTTTTAGAAACATTCTAAACACTCCAATGGTTCCCCAGTTCTTGCTAGAAGTCAGTGATACCAGGCAAGATAAAGTTTTAGCAAGTTCTCTTCCAACCTCCAGCTGAAATCATTCTGCCCAGTTTGTCAGTACAAAGAGGCAGAAAAGAAGGGCAATGTTTTAGCTGTACTCAAACTCTGGATTGAGACTCTGGAGTCCAACATTAGGTTCCTGATTTTGCTGCTTATATCCTGTATGACTTAGGGCAAATTATGCAGGCCCAGATCCCAAGCTTTCATTGACTTGATAAATACCTTTAGAGATCTGTCTCTCAATTAATCCTTAAACAAACAAGATCATAATAACATTGTCCAGATTGTATACTAATCTGAATACTGTCTTTTTTTTACCATGGGTTTTAGGGATCAGCCCTCAAAAATCTTATTTTTAATAAGCCTCTTCACATACCACTGGAAGAATAAAACCTGTTTTTCCTTCCTGCTGTCTCTATGATTGTTAATGAAGACATCTTTGCTTTCTAACTTTATCAATGCAAAGAAGCAGTGGCTATGCTGATAAAGAAACTTTTCTACTGGTACACTAACCAAGAAGAAAACCTTCACACTGTTTATCTGCATGACAGATAAAGCACAAGGTAATATTTGTTGGGACCATTTGTTACCTGGATCATTTTTGTATGAATACCCTGCCCCATTTCAATTCCACCATGTGTCAGAAGCACAGATCCATCAGTATAAATATGAACCAGAGCAGCAGCCTAAAAGAGAAAAACAAAATCAAGATTAGACTAGTGAGAAATGTGTTGTATACGGTGATGAACTGATGAATCAAAAAAGACATAGTTTTGAAGTGTATTTCAATTTATCTGTTTAATGCTTTTGAATAGAAAGCAAAATTTGGAATGTTGGTCCCTGTTCTTCCTCTGTAATGAACTTCAAAAGAAAAAGATACAAATCCTTGGAGGTCGGCTTTTTCTGTTGCTAGATCCTGAAATAATTATACACCTTGCAAGAGTGTCTCAACAGTTCCAAAGGAAGCTGGAGGACCTCCCTCACTAGTGGCTGTACATGCGAATTGCTGCAAGTTCCATTTTCTCTCTCATTGATGTTTGAAAGTCTTTGGGCACAGGTTTTTCAACCACATGGGTTGGGCAGGCTGTCAGCATTAGACACGGCAGGAAGGTTCTGAATGAGATTTTCCTCCTGGACTCAGTTGGAAGTAGCATTACAGACTACAAAGGCCCTGTGACTTTTGTCTTGAACAGAGACAGCCAGTTTAATATGATAGAAGCCAGTCAATTAATTTTCAGTTGATAAAATGCTGTCTATTCCAGAAGCACTGGACACCTACATTAAACAAACTACAAACGCCAAAAATTCTGCTGTCCTTTTCTTTCTTAAACTTAGTCTTTGATGACATCAAACGGTTAAGTCTTTAAGAACAGCATCCCATTGTACCCCCATGGTTAGAAAGAGTAAGCTCAGAGCTATTTCTAGAATAGATAACTTATCCATAACTTATCCAATGAACACTTTGCCATCAGTCTTCAAAAATTTTTCATGGAAATGTACAACTCATCTAAACCAATATGACATCACAAGAGATGGGACTGGCCTTTAAGTATGCAGGGTCCAAGCTGCCTAGGTCCTGAAAACCAAACTTTGATCTCAGCTTGAAGAGAGCTAGAAGCTAGTGTCGCCTTCAGGGAACAATCATTAGGAGGATGATAGTTTTGCAGAAGTTGAAATACAACACATTTGTTTTGTATCCTAAGGTAGAGTAACTGTAATCTTCTATGGATAAAAAGCTTAGCTCACTTATTCTTTAAAGACACTAACCTGAGAAAGATAACGTGTGCCTAGTCCAAACGGAAACTTCATTGGTACAATGGCAATCCCTTTTTTCTTCCAGTAATTTTGTTTGTTAAATTCATTGACAGCTGTTTTCCTACTGTGGTATGCAGATTTCTTCATACATTCATTCCAACACCGTATTAAGTTTTGTGGATCAAGCTTTTGTTTGAAGTGTGTCTGCTCATTCTCCTTATACATATTTATTTCCCTAATCTGAAATAATAAAATTCACAGCTATCACACAATCCTGTTAAAGGTAGACTGACCATTTTGGGGAACTAGTAGACAACAAGATTATGGTATGTTTTTGAACAATGAACAGTTTGATTCAGTTTGTAAGAGCATGCTATTCATTCAACAATTAGACATCAATAAAAAAATATTAATTTTAGCACAAATTATGTTTCACTTAGAAAAGATTTGTTCAAACAGTTGAGCTAATCTAAAGGGTTTTGACTTTCCAACTGCATAGACTTCATTTCAAGAGAGAAGATGCCTTCATTTTGTCACCTTTTCTGGTGATAAACCAGTTTTATCTGCAACTCCTGTTATCCAAGTTTCTGTCACCAGTGCTGACTGGGGAAAGCCAAACCCTCGGAACGCTGTGTTTGATGGCAAGTTTGTTTTGCAGGCATAAGCCCAGCATCTCAAGTTGGGAATCTTGTATGCATTGTCCATTTTTAATAAGGATACTTCTGCTACCTGAGGTAGGGGACAAATAGGTATAGTTAAATGTTAGAACAGTGCTTCATTCAAATTCACATTTAGATCTTCCTCATCTCATATAAAGATCTTAACTTGAGACAACTAGCTTTAAAATTGGGTTTCTGTCAATCACTGCTGGTAAGAATACTGTTATGCACACATACAGACTTTATTCATACATTTCTCCTGCAGCATATCAGCTTTCAGTTCTTTTTTGATATTCACACAACACAGCTGATGTTACTAGTAGTTGAGTGCTAGTCAGTAGTTAAGGATGTAACAGATACTTCATTTTACGATTGATTGTGCTCCTACCTCAATATCAAAAGCCACACAGAACTAAAAATACACAGATTAGATTTTAAAGCAATAGGAGCTATGAAACGAACTGAAGAAAGCATTCTGAATTATCATGTCCTATGGAAATTCACAGTTAAGGTTTATTTCCACCAGAAAGCATATGTACTGCAGTCTACAGTGTCTTCTTGTTCCTACATTTTTCTTTTATAGATTTCACACGACAAACACAGAAACACAAGAAAAGGAAAATCCCTTATTAGATACCTCAAATTAGGCTCCAAGAGTCAGCATCAAAATAGATAAGATAAAAAATGTTTTGATGCCTTATGAACAGGCCACTGGCTCTCTTCAATGTTAAGTAGATTTCTTAGAATGGCAGCTACTAGATGTAGATTTTCCAACAACCCAGAGTGTCTACATCAAAAGGTTATATGATTAATAATACATGTCCAAGGGAATTTGGCCTTCATCATTGTCCAGCTAATGATTCTCCATGTTATAAGATTCGTCAGCTTATAAAACCCGTACCAGGACAGATTCATCAGGGGTGCATCCTCCATTAATGTAATATTTTGCATCCACAGCTCTGATTCTACCATCATTCATGAAGCCAACCTAGAAGGATTAACAATAACCTATTTAGATTTTGGCATTCATTCATTTCTTCAGTGCTTGTATATTTGAAAATTAATGTAACCCACAAAATTAGCATCATACTGAACTATTAATTTCTGAGCAGCATTCACTGAAACTATAGAAGGGCAAGAGAGAAAGAATGTTCCTGAGATATTGGCTTTCCCACCTGGCATCTGTGATCTGTATAGCTATAGCATATAATAAGCAACATCAGCCCATCGGGAGAGGAAGAAGCAGGGAAGCCCAGTGGCTTCCTGTGTATTGCCTGAGATGGCTCATAAATGCGTCACCAGGAGTGTTTACTGTAGGCAAAGTCATCTCCCACTCTGACTGTAAGAATAGACTGGCAGATGAAGTATGACATTTGTTTTTCTTAATGAAGCAATGTTATCTTTATCTCACATCTCTCTTCACCTGTTGCTGCTAATAGTTCCTGAATTCTCAACATGAGCTACAGCTCATTTTCAACTTCAGGGAAGCATAAGGCCCCTCTAACTTTACTTGTGTAGTGGAGATGGAAAAGAAGGCAGAAATTGTCCTAATGACTAGTTATGACTGATGAAAGTGCATGAGCAAGGAAGAGATTAATTTCCTCCACAGGGTGATTTTTCCTGTATGACACTATTTCTGTGAAAAACTAGCTGCTCCTTTGTGTGAACCTAACCATATGGATGGTTTAAAATAAAGTTCTGCAGAAGAAGTCTGAGCTAGTTTGGCTTCCCATTCCAGAAAGACAAACAGGAAGAGCTATAAAAGGAAAAGGACATAAAGGGACTAGGAAAAAAAACAAAAAAACCCTGAAGAAATAGAGGCAGAAGCAGAGAAATGGCTTTATCTCTTGGTTTCCTGGCTACTAGTTTTGTTTTAAAATCAAATTGACTATACTCATTTTCATAAACAGAACAAATACTAACCAGTAACACTGAAATACTTATTCACAGAATATGCGCAGGCATTTTTTCACTGAATTCTTGTGGCACTCACTTTATATTTACCAATAAAAGGATGTCGGCCACCAGTGATTAACATATCATCCCCTCGGCTCAGAATTAGACGGACTGCTCTGCTGGTTCTAAATCAACAAAAGAATAGTCAAATTTCAGTCAAAATAAGAGATGTTATTAATGAGATGGCTGTTCATCATGTATCCAGATCTAGCCATGCATATAAACATGCATTTAGATTAAACTTAACTTTAATAGGCTTAAATATATGCTTAAAGCTATATCCAGAGTTCATATTTTTTTCCATTTACAATCATGTTAGAATTTTAATTTCACCTCTTGAAAGCCGAGATAACTCAGTGCAAACTTCTTCTGAAGAAATTATTTCATTAAGATCAAACTGTGTTAAGTGAGCTAACAGCAGTCAGCATTCAACCTTAAGCAAGAAATAGTAACCTCTTAGCTATTCAGAACTGTACTGAAATAGGGTGCCTTGAATAAAACCAAAACATGGATAATAATAAATATATGAAAATTAGTCTACAAATGCATATATCATTTTAAATAGTTACTTTTGAATAAATGAACATAAGATGTAAAATAAGGTCCTCACAATAAAAAAAGATTGTTTAAACTATAAAAAAGATTGGTTTTAGCATGGCCTGGGTAATCCAAAACCCAGATAACATGGCCAAAAATAATCAAGAACAGTTTGTACAAAAATGACAGTAGTAACAAGAAAAATGTATTGAGCTAACCACTCAGATTACAAGACCATTTTGGCTAAGACAGGATGTAACCTGATGTGCATTCTGCAGCAAATCAAGTTATGCTTATAAAAGAGGTTACTATCCCGACAGCTGATTGCCAATATTGTCCTGCCAAATTTGGAGAATGGGAGATAGAGCTTTATGTGTTAAGGTTCCTAAACTAATTCAATAGTATTAGCAAAAACATAATACCTAATAGATTTAAGCTAATTTTGACTGAAAGATGTTGGGGACTGAACTAGAACTACTTGTTCTTAAAAGCAGTTCCACTCATGAACTTCTGCATCCTGCTGTGCCAGTGAAGTTCACATCTGGATGGTTAACGTCATGTTTTGAATGTACATACAAAACCTCAGTAGTTAGGGATTGGTTCTTTTGAAATGCTCAATCATTTCAAGAATACTTCTAGCTTATGTTAGTAACAATTTCTTCAAGTCTTCAAGTCAACTAATTCAGTTGAGGCTACGGTTGCTTAACATAAGCAGTCTAACAAATCAAAACAAAACAAATAAATGCACTGAACAGTCTTACAAAATGTGAACAGTCAGGATTTTATGACTTTTTTGGATAGCAGCTTTGGAAAGGAGAAAGCATTTTAGCCAATGTGCAAAACTTGTTCACCCCATTTTCTCTTCATATCCCAATACACACATACTGCACTTACTTGTTTGCTGCCACTGCAGCAACTGATGCCAGTAAGCCAGCTTTCAGGAGTTTCCCACCAAAAGCTCCACCAACTCTTTTAACATGGCACATGATCCTGTTGGCTGGAACACCTAAACTTGCAGCTACCATCTCCTGTAAAACCAGTTTTAATCTTTTATACCAACTCAAACTAAGCCTAAAAGTTAGGTTCTGAAATAAAAAATATTTTCTAGAAAAGGGTTCCATAGATGTTTCTAGTTTGTTTGGGGGGTTTGGGGGGTTTGATTTTTTTTAAATCAAATGAAAATAATTTTTCCTTTACCCTAGGTTAAAAAGGAAGAAAAAGATAACAACAAACACTCAGCTGTGTTTGCATTTAAAATCTCTATGATGGAGGCTGTGAAATGGCCATGGACAGAAGTGAAGAATAATACCCTTGGATTTCATTGTTGAAACAGTAAGAAGCTTCAGGTATAACAAAAAGGGATTAGAATACAGTTTTTATTATTTTTATTACTTATAACATAAATTTGATTTTAATTTTTAATTTAAATAAAACCATTTGTTTTTTAATAATCTAAAGTCTCACTAGTGTCAGGAATATTCTTGCTTCGAATCATTTTCTCAAATACAAAGTTCTTCATGCTTCTTGGCTATTGGCGATACAATAGTAATGGAATTGATAAAAGGAACTGAACTGGGCTTTGAACACAAAATGCCAATGTTGAGTCTGAAATACTAACAGTTTCGTGCACCATAGCTATTGCTTTGCAGACCATATGCTATGTCAGCATTTGCTTTACCATTTACCATCATGAAAATGATCAGAGAGCTGGAACACCTCTCCTATAAAGAAAAACTGAGAGAGTTGGAGTTGTTCAGCCTGGAGAAGAGGAGGGTCCAGGGCACCTTATTGTGGCCTTTTGATATACAAAAGGAGCATATAAGAAACAAAAAAACCCCTTTTTACCAAGATCTGTACTGACAGGACAGGGGGCAATGGTTCGAAACTGAAAGAGGGTAGGTTTAGATGGGACATAAGGAAGAAATTTTTTAAAATGAGGGTGGTGAGACACTGGAACAGGTTACCCAGAGAAGTTGTGGATGCCCCATCATTGGAAATGTTCAAGGTCAGGTTGGATGCAGCTTTGAGAAACTTGATCAAGTGAAAGATAACCCTGTACATGGCAGAGGGGTTGGATTAGATGATCTTTAAAGGTTCCTTCAAACCCCAAACATTCTATAATTACGATTTTGGCATGGAGCAGCAGTCTCACCTACGACTATTACAGTTGATCAAACCCTCAACAGACTGACTATGCAGGGTACTGATTGCTCCTCACCTCAGTGGAAAGCTAATGGGGATGGAGGAGCCTCAGCACTCCACAGGGAGCTTTTCATGCCTACAATAGTGGGGCATGACGTACTTTGTTCAAAGGGAAATAAGAGACTTTTACTTCTTCCTTATCCTCACAGTGCAGTTGTCAGTGTTTATCAGGACATAGCAGTACTACAAAGCAGCTGTTGTTGGATAATCCAGATGTGCAATTTCATGTTCATATTACTTCTAAACTGTTAAGATGGATTTGTAAACCAAACTTTAAAAGCTCTATTGTCACAGGTTCAACCATTTTCTCTGAGGATGCTCTGTATTACCTGAATAGTTGCTGGATGCTGTGTTGACACATACACATCCATTTCTTTATCCTCTCCTTTTGGAACAGCAAGCACACTCTGAGTCTCCATGTAGAAGTGTTCCTGTCCCCCAACGCAAATCTCTCCTGATCCAAAGAGAAAAACACAAGTGTTGCTGAGGGGAAAGGACAGAAGAAATGAACCAGGAAAGAACTAACTGTCCATCATCACGTAAATTATGGTAATCAGTGTCAAATCTTCTGATGCTTCTTGTATGAATAAAACCACAGATGACACTCCTTGCAGGATTAAATTGGTCTTGTTCCAGGGGCATCAACAGAACTTGATTAATAGTGGAACAATATCACCTACAAGTGGTGACAATAAAAAACATAGCATGGACATACTGAAACAGGTCAAGGAGGTGGCCACCAACAGGGCCAGGGGGCTGGACCAGAGGATGTAAGAGAAAAGGCTGAAAGAACTGGATTTATTCATCCATAAGAAGAAAAGAGTTAGGGGGAGATCTTATTGCTGTCTACAACTACCTAATGGGAGGGTGTAGAGAAGAGTGAGCCAGACTGTTCTTAGAAATGCACAGTGGAAGTATAAGAGGCAACGAACACAAGAAATTCCAACTTGATATAAGAAAAACAAACGTCACCATGAAAGGAGTCAAACATTGGAAAAGGTTCCTATGGAATCTCCATCTTTGGTGATACTCAAAATCTGACTGGACGTGGCCCTTAGTAACCTGCTTTAACTGAACCTGCTTTAAGCAGGAGGTTGGAGTAGATGACCCCCTTCCAACCTAATTATTCTGTGAATCTGTTTCAAGGACAGAGGATGCAGAAAGCTTGAATGTAGCGGCAGGACCACAAGACCACTAGGTTTAATCACACTTTCTTCCAGGTGACCAAGAGCTTTCTCAGGCTTAATGGCTATATGGAAAGAAGGTAGAACTGGGACTTGAAGAACAGACAGACAAACTCAAATACTGACAATAACTTCTCACCAAATGTATTCTGCAGTTTACCTTCAATTATGTCATCTACAGTTTCAAATGCCTGATCAACATTTCCTTGTTCTAATTTTCTTTTTGGCTCAAAGAACGAGTTGTGCTTTATAGCTTCCTGCAGTGGAGAAAAAGAAAGAGTATTTTAAAGGTTCTCAGCTTGCTGTGGCATTTTACTCTCAGGAGAAACACCATTCTCTTCAGAGATTTGAACCACCAGCTATCAAAGTCAATGAACAACTGTATTTCAACACTTTACTGTGATTGTTGATGAGTTTGTGTATTCAGTTCCAGCAATTCTTTCCTGATATATCTTGTGTTACTGATGACAGTTTCTGAAGGAAATGCATTCAGTTTATTCAACCTGCTCTTCCTCCTCATACATCTAGCACAGAATAAGAATGCAAACACATCATCCAAAAAGTGATGCCATTGAGAGGGGAAGTAAAATTAGAATCTATGTATTAAGTATGATTTGCTTTATTTCTAGTAAGATTTCATTGGAGTTTCAACTGTAATGAAATATTAGTAAAATTTGTCAGTCTTTAAAAAGAGACTACTTCTATTTTTATACCAGAGAAAGTGTTCTGTTACACCCCACATGCATTATGGAAACAAGGTGTAAGGTGACTACCAGAACTAATACTGGTTCCCTGCAAATATGTCCTTAGTTCCTTACTTCCTCTCATCTCATTAAGACAGTGTAAGTCCATTTCCCCTATGACTCCCACATCACATTTCCAAAATGTTCTATATCCCTAACATCTTTCCCCTCACATTTCCCCAACACTTCCTACGTCTCCGGCCTAACTTTTTTGGCTTGCTAGCCTGACAACAGACACAAAATGCTACAGATAATGAGGAAGATTGTTCAGCCAATATACACATGTTGATTCACCAACTGGTAACTACCAAAAGAACTATAAACAACCAGTGTGCTCATTGCCTTTTCCTCACTGGGAACATTAAAAGAGTTCTTCTTTTTCTACTCATACGTTTATTATTATGAAACTTGTGGGACCTTAATACCTTTGAGACAGTTGCCTATCTATCACAAGTGGTCAAAATTATCCAAAAGGTTGAAGAGTTATTTACAGGGAGGCTGACAGACTGGTTAATTGGATGTTCATATTCACCTTGTTTCCTTAGAAAATCATGTTTAAAAAGCAAGTGAAGAGTGTGAACTGCTGCTTCCATTACTTGTATAGATAAAACAATAAAAAAGCAAGAGAAAAGAAATTATTAGTACCTCGATTGTTAAGATCACTGGTTCCAGCACTTCGTACTCTATCTTCACTTTTGCAGCTGCTTGTTTGGCATGAACATCTGAATCCGCAACCACAGCACAGACAATCTGACCCACACAAATCACCTGTAAAATATGCATCACTTAATAGAACAGTGGATTCAAATTATTCCCATATGTGCTGCTGCTATTCTTCTTTCATGTAACCACTATTCATGTTTCCTTTTTTAGAATTTTGTTTTGACTTAGGATCTTTGTATTTTTTAGATCATCCATGAAGCTAACACATTATTCAAAAATGGATAAATGATTTGGGAGCCTAGCTTTCAGTGAAATATAGTCTTCCAACAACTCAGATGGTTTTGTGAGGTTTATCTGTATTCCTCTGATTTATGTATTTTTTCTCTAGACAGAATATAATGCACATCAGCTATTCTGAAGTTGAAAAGGGAGTGGGAAAAAATTGTAAGAATTTACCTTGTTATGTACCTAAAGTGATTCCCTGATGTACACACCAAACAGATATTCAAGAGTCAGCAAGTAAAATTTCATTATAAAAATCTGAAGAAAAACAGTAAAAATGAAGAAAATCAGTTAAAAAAAGATTGTAGTTATACCTTGTTTCTTGCAAATATAATCTCTGGATCACTGGAGTAGTAAAACTCATTTGTATTTGGTACATCCTGGGCTGTTACGATATCGAACACACCTGGTCCTTTTAGAGCCTCTGAGGTATCTATAGATCTGATTGGGATATGGGAAGAGAGAAGTGTAATTCATTAGTTTTACAAAGCGTTGCACAGAGGAAGGGAACAGAATACAGAGGTATGTTTCTTGTACTGCCAGGATCTGCTCATAGGCTCAGACATCTTTGGCATGCGAAGAAGAGCAGGTCAAAGGGAATTTGAAATTCTACTGTCCTGCTTTGTTTTTAGGAAATACTGTAGATGCAACAGGGAAATTGTTGACCCATTAGACTGCATGAACTGCATTGATTTAATAAAAAATACTGCACAATTATGATGCTACAATTGCAACTTTCTAAGACCTCACAGCCTACACAAATATCAAACTGATAAAAACAAGCATCTACAAATGGAAAGTTCATGTAGAAAATTATAATGGAAATGGCAAGACCAGTATAAATGGAGAATGAATGGGAATATATGGGTGTAGAAGGATCAAAAAGAACTGCAGAAGGTCTATAAGAATGGCATGTTTTGATAACGCCTATTTTAGCAGGTCATGAAGATCCCAGCACATCTACAGGTGTCTTCTCTGGACACCCAGGTCAGAAGACAAAGAAGAGTAAACAAATCCTACTGACTCACAGAGATGGGGGTGATGTCAGCTCCTTGATGGTTCCAAAAAGAGCACATCCAAACCCAGCACACTATCACCGACCTAAGAATAACTCAGGAAACATAATAAGGACTCTCTAGCAGCCCCAGTCCTCTCTGTCATGACAATTAATCCTGACCAGACAACCTGGATATAGGTCTTGGTGCTGGAATGCTGGGCAGACAACTTGGATATGTGCATTTTGGTCCTGAATGTTGAACAAATTGCTAGAATAGGTGTATCTTGGCAGTATAAAAACATAAGTGAAAACAGTTTTCTTTCAAAATAAAATCCTCTTCCCATCTTCCTCTCCTATAAGGCCTCATATGAGCTTTGCTACCTTGTTGCTGCAATGTTGCAACACCATTTCCTACATTTTGAACAATTTTCTTTTTCCATAATAGAGCTGAGATTTCAAAGCTATGTTGGTAAAATTGAGTTTCAGTGCCTGCTTGCACTGCACAGCTCAGCACTTTATGGACGCACCTAGACTAGGCCTAGGCTGGTTCGTAGACCAGAAGCCATTCAAAGTTATCAGTACAGTAAGTGAGACATTTAAATCCAGGGACTTCTACTAGAGTGACAATATTGCTTCCAGCACCTGATCCAGTGTGGGGATCAGGTGTGCTGTTCTGTATACACATAACTCATTAGTCTGCTCTAAAAATCTCAGACAACATCCATAATAACAATTTGTTCAGATACACTTTGAACACTTACACAATCTTAGCATGAGCTCTGGAACTAGTGACGACAGCCAGGAAGAGCTCCCCATCCACAGAAGGAAGGTCATCAATGTAAACTGCTTCACCAGTGGCATGTTTAATTCCAGACTGGTGCATAATGGGCCGTCCTACAGGATCCTGGGGAGACTGACTTGGCTTTACATCCTGTACAGTCAAAAATACACATCCCACACCTCCAAACAGTTAAAAAAGGATAGTCATGTTATTCTTATAGTAATCAGAAAATCAGATGAAGGAACAACTGTTCACTTTATCATCTTTTGGTTCAATACTGAAAACAGATGTGGATACAGGACCTGACTGCTGCTCCTGGGCATTTCTTCAATCTCTTCTCTAAAGGAGCCTTCCGAGAGCCTCACACAGGTTTGTCTACTTGGACTTTTTTCCTTAATTGTTTACATCAAAGTGATACAAACAGTACTGCTTTTTCAGAAGGACAGTTTCCTCCTTTACTGATTGGTGTCATGAAGCTCTGATAATTTCTGAATTATTCCCACAAGACTCTCCTCTCTATTTTACCAGTGTCTGGTGTTTGTATTTTGAGCAATTTGCAGTAATTTGTAGGATTTGTCTTCCTTGCTGAAAGACTGCAACTGATCAATGTAAATCAGTGAAAAAATACAGTAAGAAAATGTTGTTTAAATATTTCCTTCCCAATATTATTTCCTTGGTCCTGTGCATGAATTTAGTGCCTTATTAACCTTATTGTGCTAATTCTTTCCTGAAAGTTAATTCAGTGTTGCCAGTTAATTTTGCCACACCAACTAATTGTTGCCAACTTCCAGAACACTATTTCAATTTCTGGGTCAGTGTTCACAGTAACTTTTTCCTTTTCTACATTCACAACTAGTTAATTGCTCATATCTCAAAACCTTTTTTCTTCTATAGCTTCCAGCACACAAGTGTTCTGGCAACATGTTTCTACCTCCTGCACTTTCTGGCACACTGTCTGCTATTAGTCCAAGGCCAAGAACAGACATTTTTCACTGGATTGCCTGAAGTTCCTCAAGTGTCTGTCAGCCAAACCATCCCAACTTTTCTAGTAAAAGAATGACCAGGTATTTATCTTTCAGGATATGCATTCTTTTTCTTCCTCTTAATTTTAAAAGTTTAATAATATTCAGATGAAGAACTCCAGACAAGAGATAGGGACCTGCAAAAGTTAGATAGAAATTTTATAGTGAAAAAACCATATTTTCTGTTGCTCAGTGCCAACTGATCTGAATAACAAATTGTTTCTGTTGTTTAGTCACTTTCTTGTAGTTGGGGAATAAATTGCTGAAAGTCACAAAGATCTAGTTCCTTTGATCCTAGCCCCTTTTATAGGTCTGTACTGTTTGAGTTTTTTATGATAACTCTGAAGGAAGCTGAAGATAACAACTTGAACAAATTTAAATATTTAAAGCTAAAATGTTATTCTAAAGAATATCTGAAAACGGAAAAAAAATGTTTACCTAGATTTCATTTGACTTTTCTTTGGGTTTTAAAAAACTTGAGATTTTTACTTGTGTACTTAGGGTACCAAAATAACAAAAATCCTTGCAGGAGTTCCCACCATGATCCAGTCACAAGAGTGAGCTCAGAAAATCCAAAAGCAGTTCTTTGCTGCCCTCTACTGCTGACTGCTCCTTGAATCCTCTTGTTAATTTGATCAGACAGCCATCACAAACTCCATCTTGATTTCTAAATCTACAGTAAGACCTAAGAGCCCTCTGAGATCTTAAGAAAAGTGTATCTTGAGACAAGAATACTACAGTGATAGCTATAGACTTGGGCTTTTCAATGTTTTGTATTTTCTTCTAATTTTTTTCCAATTGGGTTGCCCACTGCAATATACCAAGTTTAAGCAATCTGACAATGTAGTTTGTTCAGCATATTTATCTTTTGAGAACTGTTTAGAAGAAGTGAGTATACCCATATGAGTCTATTTTTACACACAAGGTTTTTCTAACTGAGATACAGTTAAAATCAACCATTAAGAGACTGTTGCCTTCAATCCTTTGGAAATTTTGTACCTGAGCTTCACAGCAAGGGTCATGCTTGAACTGTGTGACTTTTTACCAAGTCTTACAGAGCACAGTACAATGTCAGATAAAATCACTTGCCTGGTATATTTGGATACTCTGGGGCATTTTGGTCTGGAAATCTTGTAGGACACTCCTATATTCCATAGGTATGCCAAGATAGTGGCAAGGATCCTGAAAAGGAAGTGAATTACTACTAAAACTCACATATTGAACATTCCAATTAAAAAAGCTAACAATCAAAATCATCAAATACAAACTCTCTATATAGAAAATTCCTTCATGACTCTCACAAGCTAGAAAGGCTCTAAAATAACAATTTTAAAATAATGTAGAGTTTTGAGAGTTCACTAAATAATATTTTAAAATATATTGGATTCAACAAATATGCTTGTTTAAAGGAAGCAGCATAAAGCAAGGATACTCAGAAGAGCTTTGTTCTAGTGTCTGATAAAAACTGGCACAGAATCACTCCTGCTAATAGTAAATTATCTAGTAATGGTAATTCAGAGGAATGAAAGTAACACAGAAGAAAAAGGCAAAAGGGATATTTTTCCTCATAAGAACAGATTTAAGACATAAATTAGCAAATTACACCTAGAATGTATTAGGACATTACATTTTAGAGCCCTCCTCTCTCAGTCAACAACTCTTACAAGGAGGGGGGTTGGTTGAACACTTACAGTTGCTTTCCAAAGCCTTTATTTCTGTTCTGTCTATTCATGTTTTGAACTACAGACATATGGAGTAAGACCTCATGTAAGTTTTCTTTGGGTTTGGGAGCTCAATAATGACATATTGTTGCATTAACACTGCTCAATTTTTTTTAAAGGCTAATGTCCAAGGTAGAGATATCCAAGCATCTAGAAGTTAAATGGGCATCTCCTCATCAATCTCTTTGGGAATTAAGTACTTATGTTCTTCTGTAGATCTGAACCCCAAAGACAATATTTAGCACATTGTACAAATTGCAAACATCAACAGACAGAAAAACACCTTTCATTTGCTTGCACAAAAGCAGATATGGAAAACTAATTTACCATTTTCTTCAATGACTGCAATACTTCCAGGAAAAATCTGTAGAAGAAACTGACTATCAAAGTTTTCTTATAGTCTACTTTTTCACCACTGGATGAGCCTGGAACAGCAATTTCTTTAAGAACTAGTTTGCAAGCTTCATCCAACATTTGTTCATTCCAGTGTCTGTCAGGAAGAATAATAGATACACTCAGACCAGGACTCAAAAAAAAAAAACCCAAATTGCAGTAATACATTTGTACCATGGACACAGGCATAATCCTGCTCACAATGAAGCCAAAATATTGATTCTAATGATGGTCTGCAATTTTGAAAACAGTGTAGGTCAATGTTGCTCACAAGTGAGGTCTCCTAAGTCAATGGAATTGAGTGCTATGCCAGCCTTTTTAAAATAAATAAATTAATAAATAAAACCTATTACAGCTTAAAAGCTGATTTAGCAGTCTTACAGATTATCACTATTCTGCAGATACTGTCCTATATTTAAAGAAATGTGGATAATGATATTGATGAAACTGTAGATGCTTTCAAGGGATCTGATTAGTGCTGGACAGTTGTTACATTTTCTGAAAAGGCTGTCTCCTTGAATTATCTCAACACAGTTAATTCTCCATAGTTATACAACCCTAGATATCAAAATATAAATCTGTTAGAATAAATTTAATCATGTAAAGCAGCAAAAAATTAGTACTTCAACTAGTGAAACAGTTACATATTAAATGGGATTCCGTTTATATATATACATGGTTTTATACTGCTTCAATTATTTGTATTTTTTTTCCCTCCAAACCTTGGGAAGATGCTCCGAAGTGGGATGGAATATCATGGATTAACTTCAGAGATTATTAGGATCTTGTAGATGAAAAGAGATTGAAAAAGTTAAGGCTTGACTTGTGCTAAGTTTATTGGGCACATCTGAAGTTCTCAAACTTTGTATCTATGAGAGCTAAACTGAAGGACTCAAGAACATTGATACTAGGGGATTATCAAACCTATGGGTACAGCATCATTTACCAATGCTTGGGTTCAGGTCCACAACTGACTATGTATACCTCATCCACCTTTCTCACAGCGCTTATCTCATTTCTCTCTGCATATTCCACACCAGAGTTGCACCCATGTGCAGACTCCAAAATGTAACAATCCTGAAAAGTCATCATTAAGGTTTAACCACATCATTCACTTGAATATACGTGGCATCAACCAGGCAAGCAAAATCTTTCTGTACTTTCATGCTCTGAGGAAGTACACCCAAACTCTGAGAGATATAGAGGAGGCAGAGAAATTGTACCTTCCAATCAGTGTCCAACAGGTTTGTTTTGCACACGTTGTGGTCAAGACAGCACCTCCATAGAAAATGCTTAAATCCTTTATTATGTCTGTACTGTCTTCAAAAAGGACTCTCATCCCAGCATTGGTTATTGGGAGAGCATTTTCCCGTCTTGGTGCTTGTCGAAATGCAGAGACATACTCCCCCTGAGCAAGATCAGACAAAAGTGGGTAACCTGCAGAAATGTAAGTATCTGAAAGCAGAACTTGTTATTCCACTATGTGAAGCAAGAGAATGAAAACTGAAGAGCACAAATTCAACTTCCTGAGCATTCAAAACTGTAGACTTCCTCCTGTAGACCTTTCAGTAGCTTTACAATCTTTGATTTTCTAGCAGCCAATACCCAATCCTCCATCACCTGCACAGTTCAGATGATCTAGATTTTTTCACAGGAGATAGCTGGAAGACAAACATCTTGTGGAGTGAAGTTGCATTTATAACAAGACCAAAAGCTTAGAGGTTTCGAAGTATTGCCAAACTTCAGTACTCAGATAACGTGACCCATAATCCTCTTATAAGATTCCATATCCACTCTTGCAAACACAATACCAGTTAAAGACTATTACTCAGTTCAGCAACATTTACAGAAGCACCATGAACTTGTCCAATCTTATTTTAAGAAAAATCCTCAAGAGATGGCAATGCTTTACCTGCTTCCTGCCAACCATATCACAAGTAAGCAGCCTGTCTTGGTGAGGACTGGGACAGCTTGTCCAAGACCCCTTCCTGCAGGTGGTCTAGACAATTGCTATTGCCTTCATCATTTTAGGGTACACTTTTGTCCGAATATCACTCTTTATATATCACCAACTACCTGCCAAGTTGTGGTATTTGGCTGAAACTGGGAGATAGTATAGTACTGATGGGTTCAAATATAAGGAATTCAGGAAGTGAGCCGTAATAGCGTTACTGAAACATAGGGATTATGACCTCTCCTGCTCTTTATTTCATAGTCTTTAACTCTGCATAAAGCAAATCTAAATAAACTAGTAACTTACCTTCCTAGAATGGGGAATATGGACAGAGACTAAGATCTCTTCTGGCGTAATGGTATTGTTATCAACTCCATCTGCAAAAATATCACTTAAAGGAATCTGTCGCTTTCCTCCTAAAAAAATCCGAAATCCAGAAACTTCTGTACAATTGTGCAATGAACATACATCAACCATATTTTAATTGTCAATAAATACCTGCAGCCTTCCTGAGTAAATAATAACTGCAGAGTTTACATAAATTATCAGTGGTATGCTCTATAAATACAAATGACTGCTCCATCTTCCATAGTATCACAACACCGGAGTCCTAACAAAGTGCCCTGAGATCAATCCCCATTCCATAATCCTCCCTTCTGATACTGCCACGATGATCCCATCCTCATTGCTGTCAGTCTGTTCCAAATCTCTGCAGCTGCTGTCATCACTACCTTTCCTTCTAAAACATTAAGAATAAGGAAGAAAACTGAATGGGAGACAACTGCTGCAAAAGTCATTCTTTTGAAAATGGATTTTCAAAAGGGAAGAGGACAAAATTCTGCAAGGAACCTAAATATGTAAGAGCCCTTTGAAGACTTAACTTCATCTTTGCTATATCAGGTTTGCCAATATCACTACACATTTAAGCTAGCAAGCCTTTTGATAATGCAACATTTTAAGACATATAATTATTTCTATTAATTAAACAAGCTCCAAGTTTTGTTGGTAGGACTGCAACTGTACCAGTAACATAACTGTGAAGTAGCATTGTTGTTCTGCAAGAACACAGAGGCATAAACATTGTACAGATGGAAATCCACAGTGATTCACCAGTGTGGAATTTAACCATGTGTGTTTGACAGATTAATTCAAAGTGTATTTTTTACTAGTCTTTTGTGTCCTTTGTACTTTGCACATGCTACCTAACAGGTTCAATGCATTTTTTAAAGAAATGATTTCTTATTACTAGACAATATTTATCTTGCAGTAGCCCTGACCTATGCCAAGACTTTCTATAACCAGATAATCTTCTGTGCCATTTTTAAAAGGTTCATATATTAAAATACTCCCCTCACATTCAATGGAAATGATACTTCAAGATTGGCCACTTTACAGCAACATTATTTTCTTCATGTTTTTCATGTTAAATGTGAGTATGACAGTATAACCTGCTCATCCTAGAATATCATTTCGCATTAAAATTGCAATTCTCAAATATAACTATTGTGACAGCAAAGCTTTAGTAAAGGAATTTTATTTTGCTGAAGCATGAATCTGAAAAATAACACTGTTAAGAATAGCAGCATTGGTGTTTCTGGTTTTTTTGCCCTTGCAATTCCATCCAGAATACACGTGATTTACATACATAAAGATTATTGTCCAATCCCACCTGTGAGCCTGCCAGGATCTAGGAGGGTGCATTTCCTCTTACACTGTGACCTAAGGTAAATACTAAGAACTAATAGTGTTTCTGCAACCTCCTTTTCTTGAATGATCCACTTTTCCTATGTTTCACTGACTACTGTTAGGTAAAGAAATATGTTAAAAACCTGTGAAAATGCCTAAGCCCCTCTCCCAGCAGTAAAGTTCTGCCAGGTTAACAGAAAGAGATATCAACCTGTGATCCTATTCATCAGTCAAACAAGTAGGCACATCATTAGAATCATTGAGTAAGAAGATGCAAATGTTTGTACTTCCACTTGTCAGAACAACATTCTGACAGGTATTTTTCCTCTCAGTGTCAAAGTATGTAGGAAGAAGTCATGGAAATCACACAGCATAAGTTTTTGTGTATCTGTTCCAAGAAATCCTGAAACCCAAGGAATGTGAAACAGCCCCTTAAAGAATGCATATTTGGGGATGTTGAGTGGAGCATTATATAGTCGGAAATAGCAACATGCACTCTGTCTGGATCAAGGGCAAAAAAGCAGATAAGCCATTTAGAAGGGAGAGCATGCAATTCCAGGCCATCAGATAGCTCACATTTACCAATAATTTCATCACCTTCCAATGGTAAGGTGGTGCACAAGAAAAGGAGCAGGCAGAGGGGAGTGTATATACAGTGATGGAAGGAAACTGAGGAAATGGGCATGGAAAAAGGCGCTGGACTAGTGGCTCCTGTATCAGAAGTAAGTACCCGTAAGGAACGAGAAGCCAGAGTTCTTCTCAGGGCCAGAGGGTGATTTTAAAATCAGGGCAAAGATTCAAGTACAGAAAAAAACTACCAGGGAGGTGGGGAGGTAGTATACAGCTGCTCAAACTGTGAGGTTTTACGAGCACTTATAATTCATTGCCCACAGAAATACATGTAATCTGGTTGGTCCAAATGCTTACTCTTGACATGAGAATCTCTGACACGTTCTTCTTTCGCAAATTGCTTCTCTTGCAGATGTGATCTTGTATGAGAGTGGGAAAAGGGTTCCTTAACAAAGGCTCACCTAGTGTTACTTCTCCTCTCCCCATACAATAGGATCCTGCACCTCTGGCACTACTACAGAGACAGGCTATCTCTGCTTACCTCTTGAAGCCAGATTGAGCACACAGTTGCTGGCTGCCAGAATAGGATTCAAGTCTGAGGTTGATTTTCTACTTATGATGTTTCCACCTAATGACTTGAAAGAAAGAAACTTATGTCACCTTTCTCCATCACCTTCACATTTTTGTGTTAAGTGACAATAAAACATGGAGACTACACATAAATTTATACATATCAAAAGCTCAAAAAAGATGTATTGATAGAAAATACACTGCTAAAAAGATAATTGAAAATACAAGTTTTACATGTGGTCAGGAGCAATTTCACATTTGTTACGCTTTGTTACAATTGTTATTGCAAGTAAGGCACAACATACAGCAACGTTTCTTATCTGTTCTCCACCCAGAGTTCTTAATTGCTGCAAGACAGCACAGAAAACCTTTGTCTTCTCTTCAGGGGCCTCTGAGATTGCATTGGTCAAGATATCTTTCACTAGAGAGAGGCTGCAGGCAGCTCCCAGAGTTAATCCTGGAACCAAAAGATGATGAAAGTGTAACGTGTGCATTGCTTTATTGCCTGGGTTTTAAACTATGTTCAGACTGTAGAGCTAGGACTGCTCATGTGGAATACAGGCAGATGTAAGGAGAGGGGTCTTTGCATATTAAGGGGACCGTGACCTTTCATTTCAGGAGACTGAGTTTAAAATTTCAGGAAGTGCTGAAACTGAGGTAATAGCTTACCACTTCTACTAAAAGGGAAACCCCTTCTCTGCTTCCAGCTGCCCATTCCAACTGCTTCCCTTGCACCAACTTTGACAGAGTAAATGTTTAGGTGATGTTTCAACCAAAGGTGAGTCAACTTCAACTGCTTTCAACAGGCTCTTCCTATCTTTAAATACGATTTTTATCATAATTTGATCTTGCTTTGCATATGCACATTCTAGTTATTCTCCTAAGGCATGGGTACACAGTATTTGCAAAAAACCAAACAGTCCTAATACTGAATATGCTGAATATGGGATTTTTTTCCCCACTAGAAAGACGACCTATAACTATATGCATTTGAGTAGTTATACATTTGATTTTTTTTTAAGATTATACTTGATAATAATTTCAATATTATAAAATGGTAAATAATGTCTTTCTATTAAAAATTATTCATAGGCTTTATTTATGTAATGTATGAATGTTTTGAATGAACACTGGAATTCAATCAAAAATATAAATCAAAAGATACATAATTTTTAAACGGATTTTTATTAATCAAGTACAGCAATACTAAATTTTATGTATTTAAACCAAAAATTTAATCAAAACACATTTTGCATTTAAATGTGATTAAAGAGAAGAAATACTACTTCTGGATGGCAAACTAAACTGCATATCTCTTGTTTCAGAACTAGTAAGTCTCACCTTGTCATAACTAGATTTTATTTATAGATTAAAAGAAGCAGTAAACATTCTCCCTGCTTCTTTTCAATTCTCAACCACTTTTCAGCTAAGAATAAACCAGTCATTGACTAGAACTGGATGACTGATCTGAAATGAAAAAGATATTCTAAATGTAATGACAGAACTGTCAAATACAGTTTAGCACTTCAAAAAACTGGCGTCACGCACAGAACAAGTAACTTTCATCAGATATAGGGTTTGATTTTCCTTAAAACTTTGGCAGTTGTACAATGTAATTTATGTTTAATTAATTTAAGCTATTATAGTAAGTTTTAATCTATTTCTAGTTGTTATTTCTAATTTCAATAAAATTTATTTAAAAGGTAAACCTAGTCTAAATAAAAAAAAAAAATGCTTATATTAAATATATAAATTGAGGTGCAAAATTTTTAAGCTACAATAATTAATGCTGTTATGATTGAGAATAAGATTGGTTAATGCATATTAGCTATGCCAGCTTAATCACAGCCTTTTTCCTAATGTAGACAAGCAGGCAACGTTGCTGACTCTCTCTGTGGTTCTGTATGGGTGTCTCTCTGCTATACAGCACAGTATGGTACAGAGGTCACAAAGCAAATGTTGCATGACTTAGCACCAGAACCACTATTACCAGAATATTTACCCTTGCACCCTTACGACTAATGAGGCCCAAGATAATATTGCTGGTCAGCACTGCACTGTCATGAAGACAAAACTCTCTATCATGCACTGGGATTGTGGCCACAGCCATCTCGACCTGCGAAAGAACCAGGCATGCTTAGGAATGACTTGCACAGCACTTCACACCTTCAGCACTATGGAATGGAGCAGCATCCCTTACTGCAGAGGAATCTCCTATGTCTGAACAAAGTAAAGTCTACTGACCGTCATCCATGCACTTCACCACATTCAGATCCGGGATCCTTGCAGGAGCAATAACAATTGGATGGAATATGCCTCTAAATTTCATCTCAGGTCCTACCAGATAGGAATAGACTTAGACAAAAGACATTTTCCATAATGACAACTCCAACAAAGTGGAGAGTAAGCTTAAGGATGAAAATGCAAAAAGAATTATAAATGTAGCCCCACCTCTCCCGTGCACACTGGAACTATGGCAACAGGAGCCATTCTGACTGTATACATACCCACAGTGGTGTTCCCAACCACAAGAGGTGCATTGGGGTGGGCAGCTTTCAGATCCAGTAATTCATCTAAGCTTACAGGAGAAATCCATGTCATTCGCTCCCCATGAAAAACCAGAGTTCTTGGTGGATTTTCAGCCATTCTCTGATGGGGAAATATGGCATATTTAAATATTTAGATAGACAGGTGAAAGGTCTAGTAGACACTAGATTGAAAGTCAAAAGAAGTTCTTAAACAATGGCAGTTCTACTTCAAATCCTTCAAAATTGGGCAGAAATAGAACTGTTATGCTGGCTCTTTGCACAGTGGTGAATTTCTAGACTGCATGGGTGAAACCTCTTCAATTAATTCCAATGGGCTAATAAACAAGATTGATAATAAATTGCCCCAAAGCAAAAAATATAGGAATAGATCCTGCAATTGCTGAAATTATTAGAAAAGTGATAAAAAATACTTAGGGAGGTGTTTGCACGCTTATCTTGCTTGGAGGTCACTGATGACACTGGAACCAGCATCTCTTTCTAGATTAAGCATGCATGTGGATGTCTCTGGCTGTTCTAGCACTGTTCACTTGGAAATAGCTTGTGAACTACTGGTGGTACAATTACATGGTTAAGAACCCCTGCCCCACAGTTATCAACCTTTCTCCAAAAGCAGTCAGCTAGTTACAGAGAATTAGATTGACAATAATGTGAAGCAAACAGCTTTCAGTTTTTGTAGGGCAAACACTGCTGTCAGTACTAAAGGATGCCTCACACTTTCCATTCCAGTGCCCTTATTTCAGCTGCTTATATCTTTGTCATACTTTAATCACTGGGGATAAACACTCCCCAGGCTGGGTGGCTATCTAAGGCTGACATTTTGACAGAAAAGACCAACAAAACTATTAAGGAACAAAATGGGGAAAATGCATTGTTTTGCCAGTGTGAAAAAGTGTTTGCCATTCAGTTTGCTGAGAAGCATTTGTATCTTCAGGTGCTGCACTGAAAACACTGTTTAGGTTACTTCTTTGTCTTCTCACCTAATACCTAACTCTGCAACTTCATTTTCCCAATATGATTATTTTTTTGTATGTGAATATTCAATAAGCTTACTGGGAAAAAAAAAAGGAATATAATTTTGGATTTATACTAAAACATTACGACATTTCTTCTGATGAATCACTTTAAAGCAGGACTTCAGAATGAGTTCTACACTATGGACTAGTAACGAAAAGACAGAGCTAAAAAATAGTCTGTAAGCAGCAAAAATTACCATTAGTTCTGGAGGAAATATAAGCTCCTGGGTGGGGTCTAAGGGCTGGAATTCATCTGTTGAAAATAGTCTGGTGGAAACCTTGAAAAGAAAGAATACAAGCAAAGACCAAGAATTTTCTCTCATCATTAATTCCATTAAAAAAAAAAAAAGCAAAACCAAAAACAAACCATAAGGGTCTCACTGAAGTGAGTAGAAAATTAGTAATTCCATTATCATTTGGATTTGGTGCTAAATTACCATGCATCATTTGGAGCTGCTGAGGTGAAGGAAGTGTTCATAATAGTTTCTCAAAGTTCACTGCTAACACAAATGACAGTGTAGAGGCAGGCAACAGAAAGACTAACTACAGGCTTCCAGTAGTCCTACTACATGAGAGTAGCTGGTTTCATGCCAACCTACAGTACTCAAAAAGCAAAGTAAATCAGATATTATTGAAAGCAAATTGAGAACAAAGTCAAATATTCATATGGATAAGAGATTTCCTACAAAATTACGATCATAACTCTAATTTTTAAGATTGTATCGGTTCTTCAGACTCAAGCCTCAGATTCCTAAGAGATCAGTGATTACATTCAGATCATCACTGATCATTGATTTAAGACAGTTCCACATACGACCTGATTTCTTGCACAATATTATGATCATTGTATGAGTAGAGCTGAGACTATTAATATTCCTGAAGTTGAAGAACTGCTCAAATCTCAGCTGTGGAGATCCAAACTGCCTTAAACCAACTATGTGCCCCATCATCGCCTCATACAAATATACACAAAGAATCCTTAATTTTTAGAAATAAGTCCAAAGTACTTGTGAGGAATAATGAAATACCTTATTTTACAAATAATATTGTGTAAGGTGAATAAGATGGAGGATAAAAATGGCAGAGTATACTGCATTTACTTTAATTACAAGAAAAAAAACATGCAATATTCTTTCTATAAGTTTTATATCTAAATAGGACATTTAAAATACTTAAACCCCTACCTTCTCTTCCTTGTCAAACAAATAATCTTCCTGATCCAAACAACACTTCCCATTTGCTTTCCTTTGACAACAAACGGAATCCTACAGTAGGAATATTCCATTAGTGAAATATTGCCCAGAATGGCAATAAGTTAAAGCCTGCTTAAGCCGATAAAAGCGTCTCTTTCTGTTTCAATAAAGTTCTAGATGAAGTCTAATAATAAGCTAAACTGGAAGGCTTATGTGTTAAAGAAGTGATATTAAAAAAATAACATAAAATCAAAAGTCCTTAATACAAAATAATTCATACTATATGAAATTCAGTTGACCTTGTGAGAGCACACATAGGTGGTCTGTATTATTTCTTTTACCCACTGTTTACTCTCCCATTTATTTCACTGTAGGTTGCTGACATGTTGCTTTACATGATAAATTACTAAGAACATCGATCCAAATTCTGCTTGGATTTATGCCAGCACTGACCCACAGTAAAACACACAGAGTTACTTCAGATTATTCTTCATAATCCAGGCTAGACACCAAGTTCATTTGTGTTAATCAATTTTTGTAATGGTTTAGGTCACTATACACCTTACATGGACCTAGCTCTCTTAACAGAGGAAAGAGATGATCTTAATGAAAATCTTGATGGTTTGTATACATATATATATACACACACACACACTAATGGGCACAATCTATCATCACTACTTACCTTACAGAAGGTTTTACAGGCATCTAGGATCGGCCTATATCCAGTACAGCGGCACAAGTTCCCTGAAAAAAGGAAATCAGTAAGAAAACGCTTTGTTCTAAAGCATGTGGCTTTAAAACATCAGGTTTGCGTTTTTGAAGCTTAAAGAAAAGTGTTAGCTCTCCGAAAGACAAAAAATCAGTGTCACAAGACTTAAGACCCTGCAGTTCCTAAGGAAAAAGGCTATTGTTTCAAGGGCAGTATGAAATACCTGAGGGCTGCTCTAGAGGGAATGCTGACTACAGCTTAGTATGCAGGAGAACAAGAGATTGTACAATATTCTTCACCCACTCAAAATGTTTTTCTCCTACCTCCTGACCTATTTCTAGCAGTGAAGGAAGTTAGCATTACACCTCCATCTAAGTTCACCTCATAGGAAGAGGAAATGCCTCTGGCTCCACTGTGACTCTAGACCACAACAGATGACAGAAGGCTATTTTACCTGCAATAAATGCTCACGCTTTCCCTTAGTGTGGATGGTCTGCATCTCTCTACCTTATTTGACTGTTTTATTCCTACCACAAAGGGGCTGTCCTGTGAGGCTTATTACATTCTGAACTCCAGATGTAACAGGACCTCAGAGACCTTCAGATGCAGGTTCTTCTCTGATATGACATCATTTTTGCACATCTGATTTAAAGCACTTCAAAAGACATATATGGGGATGTTCTGAACACCTGTCCCTGAAACAATCCATAACTCCATTTTCCCAAAAAAAAAAGAATGACAGGGAATACAAGGTCTGTATCTAGTAGAAACTCTGCTGGGAAGCACAATTTGTATAGAGTATATACATACATACATGCATGTGTACTCACACAGACATGCACTCACATATACAAAATATCTGAAGAAATGGTTCAAGGACATACACACAAATCAAAAAGTGGCGATATTTACCAGCCAGAGCTGCAATCATCTGCTCTGAAGTTGGTTCTGGGTGGTTTCTTAACAAAGTGTATATGGACATCACCATTCCAGGGGTGCAGAAACCACACTGGGAGCCATGGCACTTGGCAAGCCTTTCCTGAAATGAAACACCATAAACAGCCTATCTTCCAGTGCACATCACCAGTCTAGCAAACTCTGTCTTAAATGGGAGATGCCATACTAAATGTTATCTTCATAATGAATCAGACTTTTTAAGTAAAACAATTTAAGTAATCTTAAATACGAATAATTGCGTTCATACTAAAACATCAGCTAAAGGGGCATTGTCCAAGATGTGCCATTAGCCCATATAGAGCACATCCTGATCCACTCCAACAATTCTTACATACCAACTATTAGATCAGGCTGTCCGTATTAAAGCAGATCCATCACAAGCCATATCTCATCAGAAACTTTTGTTGTCTTCTGTTATCATTTAGCAGGGAGAATAATCATCATATGAAATTCCCATGCCCTAAAAGCACTGCCACTCAAGCCAGCAAAGGAATAAATTTCTAATCCTCTTACACAGTGATACTGTACTCTCACCTGAACTGGATGAACCCTGGTTTTTGTACTTCCAATACCTTCCACTGTGGTGACTGCTGCACCATACAATGAGCAAATGGGAAGCAAGCATGCATTTGCTGAATAATGTCTTTGGAACATAAAGGAGAATAAAGAACATGAATATTATTTTATTTTAATAAAGATGCATGAGTATTATTTTGCAGTCAGTCAAGACATAGTTTATACTTATAAAGCAGTCATTATCATCATTTGGAATGAGAAGAGAATAAGCTTTATAGAAAGGATCACTTACTAGCTGCACCTATTGTCCCCAGTAAAACTGTTATCTATAAGGACAGTTCCACAGAATTTATATCTTCCTTATAATACTTCAGTCTTTTCTAATTGCCCTCTTGTTTCTCCTGCCAACAAGCAACCTGTCAAGTGTGTTTTGGAGGAAGAAGACGGGGAAGAGAGGGTTGGCATAGTCATTTGAAGGAAGTAAAGAATTACTGCTGCAAATTTGTAACCAAATTTTGGACCCAAAGGAAATTCTGATGTAAAATAAATACCATTCTTCAAAGCTTTTCATCATTAGCAATAAAATGTTTTGCTTTACTGTAGTTGAAATGTTTAAAGTGTCATTCTGACTGTTTTAATTTCAATTCTTAAAACAACTTTAAACATTTTCATTTGCATTGCATTCCAATGTAATCCAATTGTCAAAAGGAACAACTGGAACATTTCGACCTTTTCCCCGCATAAAAAAGTTTTCAATTGACAATGACATGTTACCATTTAACAATTTGACTAGAGTTTTCTCAATTTAAAAGTAATTTATTCCAGTTTTTACCTTAATGAAACTCTGGCTTTGAGTTTCAAAGTCCTTCTTTTCAATGGGTGGGGTGTAGGGAGGGAGTTCAGTATGAAAGGGCTGGTAAGACTCAAACTTCTGTCTGCCCTATCTTCCCATCAGAAGATGTGACAGAGCTGCACATAGGAGCCACATTCCAGTGGTCAATACAAAGGGTGTTAAATGTATGCCTTCTAAAGAGAAAGCTCCTCACAGGAGCTGTCAGCATACATGAGCATGATATTTCAGCAAATTTACAATATAGCTGAACAGTATTTTTTACAGCTTTCTCTTTTGGATTAAAGTGACCCTTCCTTTGGATTCTTTTACTATTAAGAACAGATTTTACAGTTTTGTTTTTACAGTTTCACATCTGGAAATGGTATCTACAGGCATAAAATTCTGTGTGGTTTTCAAAATTTTCTGTTAAGGATACCGTATCTTCTTTGAAGTTGGCTCATAAGTTGAGATCATCACGGTGCAGGCACCGCAGCCACCTCCTCCACAGGCATACTTAGTTCCTGTAAGATGGACTGAAAATGCTGTTATTAGGGAAAAAAAAAAATCATCAGGTCTCATTTTGGTCTTTATTCTGCTCAAAAGCTTGAGGCTACCTGTACTGGGTTTGTGTGGCAAGGTTACTGGAAGATGCTAAAATGCCTCACACTCACTCAGGCAATCATTTCACATTATAAAGAGTTTTACAACATCAGCATAATATAGTCCTGTCCTACATTTTTGTTCCCTGACACTAATTTTTAGTTAGCTGTCCCCCTAGCTATGTTAACTCAACTAAATATGGAGGCTTGCTGTGAAAAGGATCAGTTCCTGTATCTGGGTAACAGAGTGGTCTCAAACACAGCTGGACAGGCACATCTCAGGGAATGGCACACCATCATACAGACCTAAGCAATAGAGGGCAGGAATACTACAATTTGACATTTAAATTGTATGGCAAAACCAATTAGCTCCTGCACACAAGTTAATCTTATCCTCATTTTATAAGCAGAGTACAATGATACAGAAAGGTTAAATGATTTTTCAAGGTGTCAGAGCAAGTCAGTGCAGAATTACATTCTCTCACTTACCAATGCACTTTAGCCAATAAACTACAACTCAGGTTGTAGGCACAACCTAGGTTCTAGGCAGGTACTGAGCTACTTGGTATTTCGTCTCTTCCCCCAAGCAGCAAGTGATAGGACAAGAGGAAATGGCCTCAAGTTACAGCAGGGGAGGTTTAGATTGGATATTAGGAAAATTTTCTTTCTTCACCAAAATGGTTGTCAAGCATTGGAACAGGCTGCCCATGGAAGTGGTTGAGTCCCCATCCCTGGAGGTATTTAAAAGACGTGTAGATGTGGTGCTTAGGGACATGGTTTAGTGGTGGACTTGGCAGTGTTAGGTTAATGGTTGGACTCAATGATCTTAAAGGTCTTTTCCAACCTCAATGATTCTATGATTTACTTTTCTACTTTTTATAGTCCGATGGAGCCTGAAGTTGTTAAAATTCCTGAAGAATAATTCATAAGCACCATCACTACAGCAACCTATTCTGTTCCAGACTCCTCCTTATGACTGATCAGTAACAAACATTTAAATTTAAGTTTTTCTTTTGAGACAAATATAAAACCTTTCTCCTGTGCAATTTCTATAGTATATGGTACATCACTTGCCCTGTGGGAGTATGTTTCATGAGACAGTCTAGGAAGCTGCAAAAAGGAGAGATTCTGCTCTTCCCTACATTTTCTCCCTACTTCTGGCTGTGAGTCCTTACACATGTGTTCAGAATATTACACAACAGCTTCATGAACACTGGGAATAAGCTTGTGAGGCAGCAGATTTTGGAAAACTAACAGTTCAGAGCAGACATGCAGTCAAGCCTTTGGTCAACAGAAAGAGGAAAAGATCAGAGCAAGTCCTGCACCATTTATAGCAACCCAGAATGGCACTGAGCTGTGGACTGAAACTAAGGGTGAAAGAACCTTTTCTGCAAAGACAAAATTAGCAGGGTGAGAGCTCTAGCTCTCCCATCTTCTGTTCTGTCTCGTCTAATTTTTTTTCTGTTTTAAAAACATCCTTTTTCATTTTTACTTACTATTAAACCTGGGGTTTGAGTTTAGAAATCTGTTTGGAATTCTTAACATAGGAAAAAATAGATTACCTCAAAATTCCACCAGACAGGGTCTCATCACAAGGTCTCCCCTTTCCTGAGAGACTTTTACAAAACTTGGAGACTGTCAAACTTTACATACACTAGCCAAAAGGTTCTTTAGGTTTCTTTAGGGGGTGAGAGGGGAGGAACACAGATGCACACATACACATCATGCCTCACGGCATAACTGTTTGTTTAGGAAATCAGGCTAAAAATATAGCAGTGACTGAAGACTATTTGGCTTAAGAAAGACATATCATTTAATATGGTTAGTCTATCTTAAGGGACTCCCAACTTCCTTAACCTGGTAAATCATGGTAAGTATAATTAATGAGAATTTTGCTTGAATAAGGCTTTCAGATGAGTGACTTAAGGGAACTGACACGAAAAGGATACGTCTCTTTCGCAAGTAAGACAACAGCATTTGTTCAGGATCAGCATTTTTCTCTATTATCTGGAGTAAGAAATGAAAAACAAGCTTTAACTAAGAAACCAAGGCTTTTCAAAATTCAGGGCACAGACTACATTCCCACAAAACTAGAAGAGAATCGTTCTCCGGTTCCCTCTCATAGAACTAGATTAATTGCCAAAGGCCACAGGAGAGTTAGGGCTCCTTCCGGACATACCTTCTCAGATACGTTTCCAGGAAAGAAGTGACAAGGCACCTTGCAACTACTAAAAATAACTGCTGCTCAGTGAAAGGTCATTCTGAGAGAATTTACCTTCAGTAACACTAGAAGTAAAAACACAGCAGTACTTTGCTACAATAGAGGCAGCACAGCATAAAGAATTAATGATTTGCAGATTTTCAAGTTTCCCTGGTGCTTTAACCTACTGGGATGAACACTAGAGGAAGCCTGTAA